TGGCCAGAAAGGGGTGTGTCTGGGCTCCCCTGCGGAGCCCTGGCCTGGGGGCTGCACTGGGCCTCAGGTGAGCGGCGGGCAGCCCTATAGAGTGGGCAGCAGGTGCAGAGGCCTGCACCAAAAGCCCCGTGAGAGCCAGACCAGGTCAAGGCAGAAGCAGCTCTCTAGAGGAATGGGAGGAGTCGGGGTGGAGTTGCCCGGCTGGGGTACTGACGGGCCTGAGAAGGCTCTAAGAAAGGGGCCCAAGGGAGCCTAGGGAATGAACGAATGAGAGACACTGGGTCACAGCCCTGGTCTCATTTTCCTGGTTCACGGCTCCTCAGGCACAGATCTCAGGTGCTGCTGCCTCCAAGGAGCCCTTCCTTGATCTCAGGCTCAGGGTCAGGGGCTCTAGGCCTTGCTCACTGTGGCTCTGAGGAGAGAGCCTTCCTTCCTTGCTGGACAGGGCCCTGTTTATCTGGGTCACCTGTGCCTCCCTACCCCATCCCCACCCCGGGCCCTGAGCAGGTGCTGCCCAGTGACTGAAGAACCACAAATCAGGGTCAGGAACTCCATGGCACCCTATTCCTGTGACCTGCTCTTCTCTCCTCCTGACTGCACTGGGGCAGAGAGGGGCCCACTGAGTAGCTGCTCCCCAGCAGCTAGCTTGGGCACACAGAGGAGTCGTCAGCCCCTCTGGCCACCTCTCAGGCCAAGGCCTGAGCCAGGCCCTGTCCCTGCACAGGTGTTGGACTTGTCGGCAGTGGCTGTGTTCGCAGGGCATCCTGGGAGGAGCACCAGGCAGGATCCCACAGTTTCAGTGAGGAACTGGGGAGCACAGAAGGCTGCTGAGCCAGGAGGACCAGTCTCAACTGTAGGAGTCTTGTAGTGGACTTGATGGTGAAGGAGGGGGCAGGGAGAGGTGAGACCAGGGGGGAGCGCAGGGCTGGGCAGAGGCTGTGGGCATGGGGAGGGCCTGGTCACTACTGCGTTACGGGTTCCTGGACGGGGCAGGCAGTCCCCAGTGGAACGCAGATCCCGGGCAGCCTGGAGTTGAGCAGGGCAGATACCCCATTGCTTGACCCCCACCCCGCCCCGACAGATCCTCACTGGTGATCTTGTCCAGCATCATGTGCAGCCGGCAGCCGAAGGGGGCATAGAAGCCCACAGTCACAGGGACAGGCACGTGGCAGAGAGTCTTGGCCAGGCAGCTGCAGTAGACGTCATCTTCTGTCAGGATGTCTGGGGTTGGGGTGGGGAAACTGAGTCACTGAGGCTGGCCAGGCACCACCCTCCCTCCTCCCAGTGCCCTCTGAGCCCCGCCTTCAGCCCCTCCCTGCACCAGCATCCTCCCTGAGGTGACTCAGGTCAAAGCCAGCAAGGGAGGTGTCCGTGGCCACCAGAGCCTCCACCTCCAGGCCACATGTACCCTTCAGGAGGGTCTGATCTGGGACCCTCCAGGGCCTGTGGTAATCTGGCTGTCACAGCCCAGATCACCAGGCTTGCTCAGCCACCAGCCTGTGGCTCCCTTGCGGGGAAAGCTTGTGCATCCTTCTTGGGACACAAGGGCCCAGATTGGTGGCACTGCTTTCCATCCTCAAAAGCTCCCTGTTGGGATGGCTCCCAGCCACTCTGCACACCTGGTACCAGGGTGGGAGTGGCCCGAGAACCACAGGCTCCTCTCCACTTCCTGTCCCTGGTGCTGACCTCTCTCCCTGACCAGGACCCCACACCTGCAAGGCACCAATCCCACCCTCGTCCAGGTTGGAAGACCTGGGTTCCAGTCCTGGCCCAGCCCCTTCCTCTGCAGGGTCCAGAAAGGGACACCTCTCAGAGGCTCAGTCTCTTCCTCTGAGGACACCAGGTGGTGTGGATGCCAAAGGGCCTGGCCATTACCATTTAGGGTACGGACTGCTGGCCCTGTAGGGCTCTGCAAACAAGCACTGGAGTCCACTGTGCAGAGGGCTCCCTGCCCCACCCCCGTGCTTAACTTCCCAGACCTGGAATTTGGGTACCAAAACGTAGCATTCAGTCATGGTCAGGCCTCACAGTATGTGGTGGCACGACATATCCACGCTGGAAGAAACCTAGGGGACCTCAGGACTTGGGCCGGAGCTAGCAGCAGAGCCAGGAGGCAGACTCAGGATAAGGTCAACCAAGGTGACAGCAGCCAGGCCGGACCCAGTCCCGGCTCTACCTGATCAATGGGTGACGTCACCTCACGCACCCTCTATTTCCCTGTGTGTGAAATGGGCATCCTAGCCCCAGGCTCTGGTGACAAGGATATGCTCAACCCAGACCTTGAAATAGTTACACGTCCCCACGTCTCCTGTCACCACCCTGGTCAGGCCACCAGCACCTTGCACCCTCCCTACTGTGGTCCACACTCCAGTGGCTCCTGACACAGCTCCCATCCCTCCAGAGCCTCCTGGTGGCCCTGGGGCCATCTGCCAAGGGCCTTTGCCTCGCTGGCCATGTGCACAGCGTGTGTTCAATTGTCACCAGGAGGCCCCATGGCCCTCTTTCACCCCAAGCCCTATACCCCCTACCTCTCCCTGATTTATTTCCCCTAGTGTGGCTGTCACCCAGTGACACACTTTTCAACTCTCCTTGTTCATCTTGTTTCCTGTTGCTGTCCCTCATCCCACAGAACACGACAGATCTGTGCCCTGCTCCCTGCTGTGTCCTGTACAGGGCCTGGCAGGCACCATGGAGGTCGGAACCTCATCACCAGCCACCTGGACACCCTCTCCCGGCCCTGGCCCTCCCTACCTCTTGTGGCGGCTCCACACAGAGCCTGTCTCCCCCACACCAGCCCCATGTCCTTGTCACCCCCTGCCCAGCCAAGGCAGGGGGAACTGGGAAGAGAAAGCAGAGCCATGGCCCCAGAAGGTGGAGAGGGACAAGAAGGAGACCCTTGCTGCCCAGCACAGGCCTGGCCTGGAAGCCATGGACCCCGACAGGGGAGGCAGAGGCAGGAACTGGGACCCAAGGGCAGGGACCAGAGTGAGGGATGGCAGGGCAGGCCGGAGGTGCTGGCCAGGGAGCGAGAACCCCAGGCAGAAGCAAGGCAGGAGCCAGGCAGAGCCCCCGAGAAGGCCTGGCTGAGCACCGGAGCCGTAGGAGGTGAAGGAGCCGCAGGC